TCCAGGACTCTAACCGCCCGGGCCTCAGCTCATCATCCACGCTAAGCCTTGCCCACCTCCCCCTGATTGCATTTTATCCACTTTCATTCCTCTCCCCACCCACCTCACTCTCCCAGTTTACTCTCTCTTCTGCCTGTGGGCCACCCGGCAGGGCGCTGTCCTGGTGCCCTGGGCCTGGGGTGGGGGCACATACATGTGGGGGTGTCGCTCCTTCCCGCCTGCCTGCAGGAGGCTCAGCTGAGCCAGGGGCCTGGAGGGAGGGGCAGGGGTAGGAGCAGAGGGGGCTGGGTGGAGCCGGGCCTGTAAGCCCTAATTAAATCAGCTAATTAGGTGGGGAGGAGAAGCCTGTGGGAGTTAATGAGCTTGGCTAATTAAGTGGATCCTGGAGAATGGCTGAAATTCTAGGCTGGAGAGAGATGGGGGCTGAGGCAGGATGGAGGGTGGGGACCAAGAGGCCTGGTGCCTCCAGGTGTCACCAAGGTCGCAGACACTGTTGGGTTGGAGGCTACTGAGGCCACCACCGAGCCCTGCAGTGACTATCAGGGTCTGCAGCCACCTGCAGGGTCTGGCCTGGAGCCACCAGCAGGGACTGAAGGCCTCATTAGGGCCACGAATGCCACTGATACCTGGTCCTGAAGTCCCCAAGGAGGCCTGGTCTCCTGTCACCCATCCCTCAAGGCTGAAAGCTAGGCCCTCTTTGAACACTTTAGTGGGAGCAGGCTTTGAGCTCCGACCCAGGGACCCTTCAGAGGAGCCACGATCACCGCTTACCCTGCTCCCGGGATTCAGTTCACAAGTCACGTGCACACTTGCTGTCGCTGCCGGAAGGGAGCCCTGTGGGGCTCTGGCCCCAGCTCCCAGAGGAGATGTCCCAGGCCAGGGTGGGAGGCGCTGGCCCTCAGCCTGGCCTGCGGCTCCCATGCAGCACTTAACATGCGTGAGGTGTGAGTACCTGAGGTCAGGGTGGGGGCTCCTGTTCAGAAGGCAGAAAAAAAGCCTTTCCTTTCTATCCAGGTCTCTCTCTCAGCCCGTCATGGTGTTCTTATTTGCTATTTAATGTCCTGCTTCCTTGGGCCACAGGGATGAATTTGAGGCCAATGCATACTTTCGCAGGTGCCCCGGGCCATGCTCCAGCACACCTGACGCTGAACCACCCCACACCCAGGCCCTGCAGGGGTGAAGGACAGCAGTGGTGACTGGGAGGGGTGGGACCAGGTGCCGAGAACCCAACCCGGACACAGGATGCAGGAGTGCTCCAGGTGCACGCTCTATTGTCCCATCAGAAGTCACTCACACACTGAAAGATGAAACAATTAGGAACTGCAAGATGCCAACCACAGGGCACGAAAGGCCAAGTCCACGGCCCTGTGCGTCGGCTCCAGGCCTGCCCTGTGTGGCTCACACGATCTGACTCAGGTGCTTGCAGGATCGGTGTCGCTGCCCTCCTCTTACGTGTTTATTCATTCAGTTACCAAGGATGTATCAGGTGTGCTAGGCGCTGTTTGCAATAAACAAAACAGAAGGACCTCTGTTCTCATCTGTGCTGGGGAGGAGAGAAAACAACAAGCAGGGCACATCCATGAACCATCACGCTTCAAGGGATTTGTGTGAGGAAGAGAAACAGAACAAGGAGGGGACAAAGCACTCAGGGAAGTCCTCACAGAGAAGGTTACCTCTGAGTAGAAACTTGAAGGAGGTGAGCCATGCAGATGTGGGGTGGAGGGCTGGTATAGCAAACCAACCAGAGGCAACAGCCAGTGCAAAGGCCCTGAGGCCAGAGTGTGCTTGAAATGCTTAGGGACAATGAGAAGGCTGATGGAGCTTGGGGGGACCTAGAGGTGATGGGGATAGTTTACTCAGGGCCACCATAAGTCTTCGGCTTTGACTTGACTGAGGCGGGAGTCACCGGAGGGTTCTGAGCAGAGGAAGCATGAAATGCGTCTTAGATTTTAATAGGCTTCCTCAAGCTGCTGTGGGGAAGAGAGACTGTGAAGCTCGAGAGTGGAAGTGAGGAGGCTCCTGCACCCAGCCAGGTGAGAGAAGATAGCAACCTGCAGTTGGAGTAGGGGAGACGAGAAGGGGCAGGACCTGCTGACAGAGTGGACAGTGTGGGTGGTGTGTGCCCTGGGTACCTCAACCACAAAGTTCTATGAACCACTGAAGACAACAAGCAGCTCTCCGATCCCCAGGATTCCTTGCCCCTGAGGGTTTGCTCTAGTTTCTGGGGTGCCCCGCCCCCATCTTTGCATTTCTGCCTGCTGCGGGCCAGTGGCTGCAATGTGGAAATGTTTCCACGGGCCCTCACAGGCACAGTTCTTGCCATTCTCCCTTCACAGGCCTGCAGACCAAGTTCCTTACAGGCGTGGGGAAGGACTGTGAATAGGGCGCATGGCCTGGGCTGGACCGTGGCGAATAGGAGAGCCCTGGCCCGTCTGAATGGGGACTTTCCCTCCCTGTGGACCACTGTCGTCATGCGGGAGTGCGGTCTCAGGTGCTCAGAGCTTCCAGTGTTTCCAGAGAAGTTCAAAATCTGGATCTTAGGATGTAAGGCCCTGATTTTTAAAATACCGGCAAATCGTTTTTTTAAAGTCAGAGCTGCCTATGCCCTCTGTGAAATCAAGGATAGGACAGAGGGGCTGCTCCTGGAGGCAGAGGCCCACAACCTGGAGGGAAGGGGGTGTGGTGGCGGAGGCATCTGCAAACTCAGAAAGGTCGGAGTTATCCCTGGGTCTATTTGACCGCAGATGAAACTGGGTCACAGAGTGGTGGGGTAACCCGGCCAAGGCCACAGGACCTTGGAAATAGTGGGACCTGGAGTTAAACCCAGGGAATGTGGCTGCAAAATCTTAACTTTGAACATAAAAGCTGTCAGAAAAAGTCTTGAGTCACGCATCACACACCCCTTGCTGGGGCCAGTCCCGCATCTGTGTGCGCAGCACTCCCTCTGGTGGACACTGTGTCTCAGTGCAGGACGCACGATGGGCTCACTCAGCGAAGGGGTCTGTCTTCTGTCTGTGCCTCTCTCCCTCTCACTCCGTTTACTCTCTAATGAACAGGGAAAGACCACAATGTCCTCATCGGCTCATCTCCAACCCCGGACATGCGGCTCTTACCCAGCTGCTCCACTGAAGACCACTTCTTCTGGTCAGGTCCCACTGGCTATGCCACCCCCCAGGGAACTTCTTGTTGCTCCCCTGTTTGTCTCTCTGTATTGGAGCCTGGTTCTCTGTCTTCTACCGTGGTTCTCCAACTCTGCTGCACATCCTAATGTAGCTTAAAGAATCCTGATGCCCAGGCCGCACCCCTCTGGGGAGGGCAGAGTTGATCTGTGGCAGACAGCCACAGGCCTCTCAGTTCCCTGACCTCTGCTCCCAGGCTCACGCCCAGACGGCATGGCTACCTCACCCCTCACCCCTCTCAGAGCTGTACTTCTGTGACCTCCTCGAAGGTCCCCATTCGTTCTCTTCATCACTTGCACTGGTGCCTGCATGCTGCAACAGCTCTTTGACTTCACAGGGACCACCGATCCACGGCCCCATTACTTTCTTTCTTAAAAAAGATTTTATTTATTTATTTTCACAGAGAGGGGGAGGGAGGGAGAAAGAGAGGGAGAGAAACACCAATGTGGGAGAAGAACATCGATCGGTTCGGGGACTAGGACTACAACCCAGGCATGTGCCCTGACCGGGAATCCAACCGGCGACCTTTTGCTTTGCGAGGCTATACCCAACCAACTGAGCCATACCAGTCAGCACCCCGCTGCTTTCTTGCTGCTCCTCAGCCCCCTTCTGCCGCTACGGTCCACCTCAAGCCGACTGGGCTCTGCCTGCCATCACCAGAGCCACTCCCTGGGAAACCGCTCTCAAGGCTGCCTAGAAGTGCCTGGCCGGCAAGCTGCCAGCCATCGCCCGCTCGCTGCTCACACCGAGCAGGCCAACACTGCTTGGAGTGTCCCACCCCAGGCTCGCAGTCTCCCTTCTGATTCATGGTCTCCAGGGGGCGGCTGCCGTCCTGCAACCCCGCTACACCTGTGCGCTCCTTGCTTCCCCCACTGTCTTTGAGCAGTGCTTCTCACACTGTAATTTGCCCGTGAACCTCCCAAGGATACTGGGGAGGCCAGAGATTCTGCACATCTGACCACTCCCCCGGGGGAGGGGGTCTATGCTGTTGGCGGTCCATGCGCCCAGTTCCGCCGAATGGCAGGGTGTCAGATCACCTTTTCCCCACCTTCTCCTCTCTCTCCAAACTGCCGGCTCTCTCCTAACAGAGAGAGCATGGATCAGATGCAGCCCTGCCGCCTCCCACCATTAAAGCACAGACCCACCTAGCTCCTCACTCACTCAGTCCACTGTTTAGTCCCTTCTCGTGAGGCCAGCCCCTCCCCTGCCTCTGAAGGGACCTTGTTTCTTCAAGACCCCCCTGCCTCCCCACTGTGCCGCCACCCTCGTTCATTTTCCCACCCAGCTGGCAGCCTCTGCACCTCGGCTCTTTCTTAGATGCCTGCACATCAAAGCCTCCCGGATGGAGTACAGCTGCCCTCTGTGTCTGCTCTGCCACCTCTCTCTTTTGTTCTTATTGCTATCTCACTTTTTCTTGGTAATTAAAATTTTAATATTTATTCAAGTTAATCATGTCCATAGCTTAAAATCAAGAAACACAGGTTTCCCACTTTAAAAAAATTTTTTCCCTCATTATCTCCTCCTCACCAACTGACTACTATCAGTTTGTTCTTTCTTTCAATGTCTCTGGTTCTATTTTGCTTGCTTGTTTGTTTTGTTGATTATATTCCTGTTAAAGGTGAGATCATATGGCATTTGTCTTTCACTGCCTGGCTTATTTCACTTAGCATAATGCTCTCTGTTTCCATCCATGCTGATGCAAAGGGTAGGAGCTCCTTCTTTCTTTCTGCTGCGTAGTATTCCATTGTGGAAATGTACCACAGTTTATTGATCCACTCATTTACTGATGGGCACTTAGGTTGCTTCCAGCACGATTGTAAATAAAAATATGCAAGCTCCACGAATTTGCACATCATCCCTGCACAGGGCCATGCTAATCTTCTCTGCAACGGTCCAGTGTTAGTGTGGGCACTGCCAAAGCGAGCACGGGCTTTCCTCTTCTTAAAGCAACCATCCTAACTCTTCTCACAGTTTTTACCTCGTGTTTCCTGCATGGCATATTAACACTGATTCTTTCCAGTTTTAGGCTTTACCTATCAACATCCCACTTTGGAAGATGAGGGTTAACTCCTTACACTGCCCTCCCTTCCTATTTCCCACCCACCCAACACACTCGCGTCACAATACGGGTGATGCTGGTAGTGCTTACACCTTTGGGAAACATTACTTACAGCTTTGTGTGAAATACTATGATATCTTTCCTTTTTCATAATAAACCTTATTTTTAGAGCATTTTTAGGTTTACAGGACAATGGAGCAGAAAGTACATGTACAGCTCCACCCCCCAGTGCCTTTATGATCAACATCTTGCCTTAGTGTGGAGCACTCGTTACAATTGATAAAATGATCCTGATGCGCTATGATTAACTACCATCTGTAGTTTACATGAGGGCTCACTTTGTGCGTATATTTTATGGGTTTTGACAGTTGTGTCATGGACCTGTCATTACAGTACTATGCAGAATAGTTCCACAGCTCCCAAAATTCCGTGTTCCCCACTCATCCCTCTCACCTGCCCTCTCTCCCTCCCACAAACCCTTGGCCACCGCTGATCTTTTAACTTCTCTATAGTTTTTGCTTTTCAGAATGTTACGTAGTCGGAATCACACAGCCCTTTCAGACTAGCTTCTTTCATTCGGAAACATTCATGTAAGGTTCTGCCATGTCTTTTCCTAGCTTGATAGCTCATTTCTTTTTATTAATATTATATGGATGTACCACAATTTGTTTATCCATTCACCTGTTGAAGGACATATTGGTTGCCTCCAAGTTTTAGGCAATTATGAATAAAGCTGCTATAAATACTCATGTGCAGGTTTTTGTGTGGACATGTTTTCAACTCATTTGGGTAAATACCAAGAAATGTTATTTCTAGATCATATGGCAAGCCTTGCGTTTGGCTCTATTTGATGTCTTCCAAAGCTGGCTGTGCTGTGCACAGCCCCACCGGCCTTTGAGCAGTGAGTGGAAGTTCCTGTTGCTCCACGTCCTCGTCAGCACTTACTGTTGTCAGCGTTTGGGATTTTAGCCATTCTAATAGGTGAGTAGTAGTATTGTAACAGGGAACAAAAACTTCACACTACTCTGACATACCACAAAATAGAATTAGAATGAGATGTACTAAGAAACCAGAGGAAGAGCTCACACACTGACAGTTTCTTTGTGAGCACATTGCAGGCACCGGCAGTTCCAGTTCCTGCTTGTAGGAGAAACAGCCAGGGCCACAATCGTGGGTGATACAGATCGTCCACCTGCAGGAATTTGGCTGCACTGACCAGCTCCAGGATGCTGACATTAAAGATCCATATCAGGACCAGCAAGGACACTGCCCACACGTCCAGCCTCTCCCCCTGATCTCTTTGTTCTCCTCGTCTCCCTCCTTATACAAACCCTGCCTGCACTGAGATGGGGAGATGGGCTTCGAGACGAGAGTCCCTTGTCTTCCAGGTTGCTGGCACCTGATAAAAACCAGTTTCCTTACATCAGCACCTCTTGAGTATTGATTGGCTTTTGAAGAGGCGGGCAGCCAGGCCTGCGTTCGGTTACAGTATCTCATTGTTTTAATTTGCTATTCTCTAATGATGCGTGATCCTGAGCATTTTAAAATGCGTATTTGACATTTGTATATCATCTTTGCTTGGGTGTCCAGATCTTTTGCTCATTTAAAAAAAAGATTTTATTTACTTATTTTTAGAGAAGGGAGGGAGAAGGAGAGGGAGAGAAACATTGATGGTGTGAGAGATACAGCAATCGGTTGCCTCTTGCCCACCCCCCACTGGGGACCAGGCCTGCACCGGCGCACGTGCCCTGACTGGGAATAGAAACCACCACCTGTCAGTTCACAGGCTGGCACTCAGTCCACTGAGCCACACCAGCCAGGGCCTCATTTTTTATTAGGCTGTGCCTTTGATTATTGTTGAATTTTAAGAATTTTCTGGCATACTTTGGATAACAGTGCTTTACCAGACAAACGGTTCTTTATCAGATTAGATGTCTTTTGTAAACCTTTCTCACCCATTCTATGGCTTGTCTCTCTCATTCTCTTATCTTTTGTAGAGCAGAAGTTTTACATTTTAAATTTCTCTCCCTTTTCTGAACAAAAGTTTTGTTTTCTTGGGTTAATAAAAATTTTTTTAAGGGGAGGGCTTGTTTTTCTATGTGTTTATATGACTAACTCAATCCACAATTCTCTCCCAAGTTGTATAAATAAGTATTCTATCAATTTCATTTCCTTGAAGAAATCTTTTCTAGAACCTTCTGACTTATTCCAATGTGAACTGCCTGCCCTCCATGCATATTGGTCAGAGCTTCTACTCTGGGACCACCTACCGTTCACCATCATTATCATCTGGGGGGTGCCCTTCACTTCTCTCTTGTGTTGGTTTCCGCTGTTCTCCAGGTTCCAGGTGTTGCATTTTCTTTTTCCCCCTTTTTCCTTTGTTTTTAGTGGAACACTTTCTCCAGTAGCTTTCTTAAGAGAGAGTGCATGGAAGGTAAAATTTTTGAGCCTGTGTAAATCTGAAAAGATTTTTTTCTGTCCCTGCTTTACTAATGGTTTGGCAAGATATATAACTCTGTGCCAAAAATAATTTTCCTTTATACCTTTGAAGACACCGCCCTCCCTTGCGGTGGTGTCTCCAAGTGTTGTCGAGAAGCCTGATGCCCTTGTGATTCTCGATTCCTTGTGGAGTCCGCGGCACGTTCCCCTAGTCCGTGCAGTTCGCTGGTGCCGCGGCCGTGCAGGCGCTCAGGGGGCCCTGAGCTCAGGGGCCCTTTCAATGTGAAAACTCCGGCTCGTTCTGAGAACTGTCTGAGATACATCACTGTTTCCTCTCCTCTGTTTTCTCTGTTCTCCTTTGGGAACTTCTTTGTTCAGCTGTTAGATTCATGTACTAGTATTCTAATTTTCTTTCTTTTTTACTCTCCACAGTGTGGCCGCCACGAAGGGGCCCCACTGGGCTCTCCTTTCAAGAAAGAACTTCGTCCCTCAGGAGTGCAGTTGGCGGACAGCTCTTGAGATGCGCCGTAGCCTTGCAGCAGGGACCAGGGTCTCCTTGCGCAGCCCGGTCCAATGGCTGAGCGCGGTGAGGAGCGGCCCGGCAGTTTCTCCCCAGCGCGGGGCCCCTCTAATGGGCGGCCTCCGCTCTGCGAACCCCACCCACCGGGTTGGCCAGGACTGTGTGAATGCTCATCAAAGCCAGGCGCTCCCTGCCACAGCCCTTTCCCTCCTGCGTGCGTCTGGCTCCCAGGGGTCAGCTGCGCGGAAGGCTCTCGCAGCCCAGCCCGTTCCCCTCCTCTACGTCACCGGCGTCAGCCTCGGCCGCAGCGCTCCCAGCTCCGACTCCGCATCCTTTTACTTGAGGAGCCAAACCGACTCACGTATTTATCTTTTTGCTCTGCTTTATGGGGAATTTCCTGAACTTGATCTTCTAACCCAGGGGCGGCAAATTCTTTTCTATAAAGGGCCCCACGCTAAATATTTCGGGCTTGGTCGTACCTGCGGTCTCCCGCACGACCATGCAACTCTGCCAGCGCGACAGCAGCCGCAGACTGCACCTGACACACCGCGCAGGCGCAGCCGGGTCCGGCGGGGACCTTGGAAAAGCAGGCGAGGCTAGATTCGGCCTGCAGGCTGCAGGTCGCTGACTCTGACCTAAGTTTGCATTTCTGCTATGCTATTCTCTATGTTTAAGAACTCTTTTGTTTTGTTTCATTCATTCTGGGAGGTTCCCCCCCCCCCAAAATAGCTTCTATTCTTGATTTTTTATTTATCTATTTTCTAGCGTCTAATTAAAAAAAGATTTTATGTATTTGTTTTTAGAGAGAGGGGAAGAAAGGGAGAAGGAAAGGGACAAGGAGAGAAACATAGAAACATCGATCAGCTGCCTCTCCTATGCACCGTGACTGGGGACCGAACCCGCAGACACAGGCATGTGCCCTGACCAGGAATTGAAACCGCGACCTTTTGCTCTGTGGGAGGACACCCAAGCAACTGACAGCCATACCGGTCAGGCCAACAGTGACTCATTTTCGTTTCGTATGTGTGATATGTTTTCCTGAGTCCGAACACAGTAACGATAGTTTTGTTCCTAAGTTTTCTGCCCCTCCATGTTGTTTCCTCCAAATTCTGTTTTTGTTCTACCTCTTACATCAGAGTTTTTTCTCACGTGTTCATGATCCCTGGTTATCTTCTCATATTTAAGAGATTTAAAGAGCTCATTAATTTTTAAAAAATGTATTGATTTTAGAGAGACAGAGAAGGGAAGGAGAGAGAAACATTGACTGTTGTTCCACTTATTCATGCATTCATTGGAGGGTCTTGTACGTGCCCTGACCCCACAACCGTGGTGTGGCAGGACCACGCGCTAACTGACTGAGCAACCTGGCCAGGGCCTGAAGAGCCCCCTGAATGGACGCGTGCTTGCCTGTGTGGCGAGGGAGACGTTGACTGGGGCAGGACACAGCTTTCTGGGGAGATGCAAATACTCTCTATCTTGAGTGAGGTGTGGGTTGCACAGGTGTATACAGTTCTCAGAACTCATTATACTGACCACTTAAGGCCTTTGCATTTCACCATAATTCTGCTTTGATTAAAGAATATAACAAACAATTCATAAAAGTAAGCTGCTGTCCTGGCTGGTGTGGCTCAGTGGACTGAGTACCGCCTGGGAACTAAAAGGTCTCCAGTTCGATTCCCAGTCAGGGCACATGCCTGGGTTGCGGGCCAGGTCCCCAGTCAGGGGTGTGTGAGAGGCAACTGATTGATGTTTCTCTTGCACATTGAAGTTTCTCTCCCTCTCTTTCCCTCTCTTAAACACACGCACACACACACACACACACACACACACACACACACACACACACACACAAAAGAAAGCAAGCTGCTGAGTAGCCCTATGCTGGGGGTGGGAGGGCAGTTGACTCAGG